AACGGTGATCGTAAGACACGCATAACATAACATTCGGTGAGACGGTGTGTTTAAAACGTAGGTAACACCTAGCCGTTCGACCAACGCCACGCACTAATCCCTGCACTGTTAGAATGGGACAGCATTAAATGGACATTGACACGGTGCAACAAGGAGGTGCGAGAATTCTAGTACGCTAAAAGACCAAAAGTATCCAGAAACCGCGAATGATCAGGCGCGAGACAGGATCTGGGAGCCTATCAAGCTGGTGACGTGGGAATTCGATGAGAGAGAGAGAGAGAGAGAGACAGCGAGAAAAAGAGAGAGCGAGAGTGGTGCAGCTACGGGGTGACATTTCATTCGGCAATGTCCATTTAATTCAGGGATTATCGTCGATTGAGAAGGTAAGCCATCAAGTGTTCCATTCCGTGCGCAGTTACAAACATGGTCGTTTTGTCCGGCGTGAGGGGATAACAACGATCGAACATCTGTGAATACTCGTGATTTGCTTTTCAGGGCGGTGAGACAAAAGGAAACGGCAAATTATACAAACGGAGGGGAAAGGATGGCGAACAGATATGCGGATAAAGAGACGCGTGTCACGTAGAGAAAATGGTACAATGGATGGCTGTCTCCTCTAAAGGGATCGTTTCTTCTCTATGGAACTTGTATTTGCTTTGTACACTGATATATCATCGAATAATGCAAAGGTCATCGAGAGACTCGAAATTATTAGAGAATAATTCTGTTTGCATCGAGCTATACTCACATTAGTCCCCTGGAGGCACGTGGTCGTTCCGATTGCGTACTGAAGGCACTACTCGTCACGGAGGCTACGCTCTCCATATCGGAGTCACCGTGATCACCGAGTACGTCTTTCTCGGGGCTCAAGTGTCCCCTACGCGTGCTGTGCATTCGGTAGGGATAGCCGTGCTGCAGCGGCAACGGATCGTGGCCCACCGAGGGCAGATCCGAGTCCGACTGACCGCTACAGTGTCTTTCCCAACCTGGAGAAATTACAGAGATTTCCATTTACTACGAAGTACACCTACTGTGAATACAGTCTTGTCTATTCGTAGACGTGGAACATAGATCTACTTCCTCCTCTAATTAATTATTCAAGATAATCAATTCCAAAGGAAGTCATAAAGTGAAACACTATTTGATTGTCTTCTATAGATCTATAAATTCAGTACAGAATATCAGAAAATTAAACGAAGGAGGTAACAGAAGATAAAGAAAAGCACATTGTAGGCTTTGCGAATCATTCTAGTTCCTCTGTATGCTCATAAGTGCACAGACACTGGAATCTCTTGGTGCGCTCACCTCCCATGCCCGCGCTATACGCCGTGTGCACCTGTCTGCTATGGTGCCTCATGAATCTAGCCCTCTCTTCGAGGTCCTGGTCCATCCTGTCCTTCTGCGGTGCCGGTATCATCGGCAGCTGTCGTTTCTTCGGCGAGCCGGTAGGAGTGGCTGTCGCCGACCTCGAGGCGAACCTGGAAACGGTGGAAAAACGATGAGCGCGACGACCCCTTCCGACGTTTCGATTCCTCGCGGAAAGCAAGGGCTGGCCGTGGTAGATTGGCCGCGGCGATAGCTCGTACCTGGTCGATACGTAGCCGTGCGAATAGGGCATGGATCTGTGTTCCGGCGGAGACAGGGAGCGATGACCGGTGGGACTCTGAGACCTGCCACGGTACCGGATGCTCGACGGGTCCATCGGCGCCGCGCTCTGCGACCTGTGCCCCATCATTCCTCGGTGAATATCGTCCTGGGAATTACAGAAACTTAGCCAAATACCGTTCCCAGCTCCCAAGACAATGCAGTATCAATTAACCCGTTCACCGGTGACGGTATTCATGACTCGGACAATTGATTCGGCTGATAAGGTACCCCCGAGACCTTTTTCGCGTGGCGAACACTCTGCAGAATGATTTGATCGTTAATCGTTATCATTCGATAAGAAACAGAAGATTTCTTATGAATTTATACGAATAAAATAATACCTTGGAAATAATTGATAATTGTAATTTTCTTCTCGGAAATCAGAGATCGTATCACGACGCTTTACTAAATTGCTGTTCAAAATAATATTATAATACACAATGAACCAACATCATTCGAAAATTTCAATTTTCCCGTCGACTTCGGTCTCCCCGAAATCCGTCGCGGTCATGTAAATTCGCGTGAAGCTCAACAGTCCGCTAATTAGCGAGGTATCCCGGGAAGAGCTCGCTTCAAGAGTGGGTCCTGAAAGTCTGCTCACCTTGCGATAGGCTGCATAACCAGAAATAGACGCGGGTTGCTCGCGGATCATGAGGGCGGCCCGTTTACGCCCCTGCGGCGACATGTCCCTTCGGCTCCGGTGCTCCCCGTCGACGCACAGCTCCCTTTCCGGCGGGGGGCTAGAATAGTGGCTGCTCCGGCATGCGTTCATTTTTTTTTCGCCGATTAGTGATCGTCGTGTGTGGCTTACAGGTTAAATGGGGCGAGTGCTGTGATCTCGCGCTAGATTACAGAGTGCATGCGGCCAGGCTGGTTCTCATTGACGATGCTTACATATACATATATAAATATACACACATACACATACACACACGCGCGCGCGCGTATGCATATATGTTTACGTATGTATATACAGGCACTTGTACGTATATATACATACATATATATGTATATATACAAAAATGTATATATGTGTATATATATACATATATGCACGTGTATATATATGTGCATACATGTAATGTACATATCAATATATGTATATATGTATATATTATATATATATATATATGTATATATATATATATATATAATATATCAAATATGCAATTCTACGCTGCGTTGCTCATCGTGTCTTCAGTTCAACAGACGAACGAACTCGGAAAGCGAACAAACCAAGACACAGGGATGCGAGTTTCTACTACTTTGGCAGAGTTCAGACGTAAAAAATATATATATAAATATATGTATATACATATTTATATATATATTATATAGAATGAACAAGTTGATCGGAATATATCGAACGATCCGGGACCGCTCGTGGTCCCGTACAAAAGTGATTTCTCGCGCGAGCAAGCTCGTTCTTCCTCAAATCAGTATTTACAATCCTACTTTGGCGATAGATAGGTGTTCTATGTATAGTGGACAGAGTGAGACACTAACTATTGACCCTTGGAACAATTGATTCCTTTTGTCGAAGCGAGCGCGGCCGTCGCGACGGAAAATTCGTTTCCCACCGAAAATAACCACGGGAAGATTTCATTCGTTTCGATTCTTTGTTCCCTTTAATTTCCGCTGTTCTGTGAGAGTGCACACGCGCGCGGGGAATGAATTACTTCCAACGGCAATACTTATTACCTCATTCCGCAGGGAACTGGTCGCACAAACCGGTCACGATCTGCAAAGTGCAAATGCATAATATTCCTGGCGATACGTAATCCGCGGGGGCGAAGCTATCGATTACGATTTACTTGCCAATGGAAGCCAGAACCGTACGGGCTGGACCGCCGTTTTCTCCCGATCCCCGTCCTCCCGCGAAAAATTGGAAGGACGTTTCCGTTGCCAAGAAAGCACCGCGGTCCGAAGAAAGGAGCCGGTCCGCCGGGAAACAATGGGAGGAAACGCGGCGCCGAACGAGCGCGACTGGCAGCAGCCAAAACGCGTGGCACACGCG